GATGCAAAAATCCATAGCACAGGATGGGGGAGTTTATTTTACTCTAAGTTTTTATAAAATGGTTTGTAATATCTACTGACTTGTATTTAATAAATTTCTTTTTAATATAAATGTCTTCATTTGTTTAAGCATCTTTTCTACATATTATACTAATAATATAAATATTAGTAACCGTAAATAATTAGTTATGATTAGCATATGTAATCTGGAAAGGGGTTACATTAGTTGGTATCAGAGCTCTGGTTATGCATCTTTAGGGCTTGTGTGTGTAGGTCCATTAGGTTATAAGCTTCTTAAGTTCTTTGTAGAATTGTTTAAAATTATTTGAGAATGATTGAATTTGTTTGAAAGTTGGTTGAATTTGTTTGATACTATATTCTTAGGAAATTGTAATATTAGTTGTCCAATTAGTTTAACCAATGGGAGATAGTAAATCTAGGTAGAAAGGTCACCTAGACGTGATATTGGTGTTACTAGATTGATTTAGAGAAATAGGTCATGGCACAAATTATATGAGAATTGGCGTAAGTTTTAGTCAAATAGTAAATTCTAGTGGATGGAACCATATTAGTCAACTTTAAGAAAAATGATCTACTTTAAGTTATAGAGAATTTGAATTTGAAAGAGATGAAGAATGGATTTAGATATTCAAGGATATATTCATAGCTATGGAATGTCTTGATAAATGGATATTTTATCATACTAGGTTCCAGTTTTAAGGAGATACTAAAGTTTGGTGGAATGTTACCTAGAGGATGTTAGAGAGAAAGAAAGAAATCATTGCCTAGGATATATTTAAACTTTAGTATCTAGATCGGAAAGCTACATCAATCCGGCCCCCTCCAAAGTTCTTCCATCACTAAATCTCTAACTTTTTTGCTTCCTTTCTCTATTTTGTTTGCATATTTCTCGCATTTTGCCTCTATACCCCTCACAAAAATGAGCCAAGGAAGGTCACGAGGGCCAGCAAGCGAGCCCAAGCTCCTCCCCTAGTAGCCCTGATTCCCCTCCCATAGCTCTAATAGTTATGAGCAAGGACATCCATAGGAGGAAGAAACATTTGGGGACCTTCGAGTTTGTCCCCACCAGGGTGTTACATCTGGGCATCCTAGAGCAGGTGGGACTCCTGGATAAAGTTCAAGAGCTTTTGGCAAGCATAGGTTGGGAGTTCCTAGCAGACCCTTTCAAATGAGCATACCAAGATGCCACTACAGAGTTCTTGGCATCCTTGGTACAATACTCCTCAAGGTCCCCCTACGGAGTAGATGTCCCTATGGTGGCCTTTTAGATGGGTGGGGTCTTTTGAACCATCACCCTATAAGACTTCAATCGGTTCACCAATTTCGTACCCGAGGAGCGCTTCACAATAGTAGCATATTCAGGTGCCCTCCTAACCAATTCACTTGAGGTATCGGTGAACTACGAGTGGTCCATAAGTTTATGATGGGCACCATACATGGACGTTTTGAGAGCACAAGATCAGTGACTCCAAAAGATCTCTTCCCCCTTTATTGCATGGTGCATGGCATCCGGTGTAACCCTGGGGCATTCTTCTTACAACATGTTCATAGCTTTGGTGGACAGGTCAACACTCTCTCTCGTAATGGTGGGATCACTACTCTCCCACCTAGCAGAACACTTTGGGATCACCTAGGATGACGACGACGTAGGGCCACCCCCTCGATCCATAGATGCACCTACCTTGAGGAGAATGGGCATCATAGAGATCACGCAAGATGGCTATGCCCTAGTCTGGGAGTTCACCATGGAAGACCTTGACGACCTATTCCAGGACAAGCCCACCCAACCCGAGGAGTAGCTAGAGTCGCCACAGCCACGAGGAGGTATAGAATGTCTCTACCAGCAACTAGAGTAGTGGCAATTGGCCATTGACACTCGCCTCGACCGGATGAGCCAGAGCATTGACCACCAGTTCACTAACTTAGAGGCAAGGATACACTGATAGCAGAAGCAGATGATGGGGTGGTTGTGGTGCCATTTCGCCAATCCCCTACTAAGGATTAGGACTTTAGTTTCTTTATTTGTATTTCTATTTCATCTTTGTTCCTTAAAATCTTCAAAGTAATGAAATCCTATTTCTTTTTTCTCATATCATTGTCTCTATCTACTTTACACCTTAAGAAAAAGCCAAAATAGAATAAAAGAAAAAGGCAAAATACAGAAAAAGGCCTAGCTTCTACACAAGAAAAAGCAGAAGCTAAAATTAACAATAAAATTGATCCCTTATAAATCCTCAAAAGGGGGCCCCAACTACAAACAAAGGGACAAGTAAAGAGGGGCAACTGTAGACACCCAATTTTGTCTAGATTACCTTTAACAAAGATGAAAGGGCACTAGGACGACAAGAGTGACCCTTAAGGGCGTAATAAAGCACCAAAATGGACCAGGACAGTACTAAGAGGCCCGAAAGACTCAAAGCTAATATTTAGAGCTTGGAACGATCGTTTCGAAACTTGGAACGACCATTCCCAATAGAAAAATTGGCCTAAAACCCTAATTGGGAATGGCCTGTTCCCAAAGCTCATTTTAGTTCAATTTTAAGGGCCAGAATGGTCGTTCCAAGCTTGGGAACGACCATTCCATGCCTCTGGCTACCTATACAAGTTTGCCTAGGGCTCAGTCTCTAACACATGGTTTAGTTGACTAATTCATGACAAAAACACTCATTTTTTCTTTCTTTATACTTTCTTGAGTGTTTGTGAGGTCTCTATCGAGGGAAAGACTGCCAAAATGCGCCTTTGTACGAACATTTGAGATTTCTTCCATAAAGTTTGCTTTAGAGGTATCCTTATCAACTTCCTTTCTCTTCTTACTTATTTAATTATTTTGTTCATAATATTATTGTCCTGAAATAACTAGCAATCATCTAAACATTAAGTATGTAAATGAATAATAAAAAGGGGGTAAATATTTAACATTGTTTATTATTATGCTAAACTCGTCATAAGGTACCAATTCAAGGCACTATAGGGTGCCTATTACCTTCCTCACACACAACCGACCCCCAAACTTGATTTTGGTTATAAAGGCCATTATTAACTAGCGAAAACCTTTTTCTTTTTCCCAATGTTTTGAGAAAAATATCGGTGGTGGCTCCTTAGAACCTTTTTCAAAAACCATTGGCGAAAGATTAGTCTAATCTTTGGACATTCCTAAATCGATAAGATTTTCACAATGAAGTCTGAACCATCTATGGGGAAGATCAGAATTTTTTGGGTTCCAACATACATGTGTGGTTCCAAAACTTCTAAATTGTAGAAAAATGAATTGAAAACTATCATATACTCTTTTAAACCTCAAGTTGTGTTATGTTCAATATTATACATAACATGATGGATAGGGATTTGTTTATTCTAAATGGGTGTTTTATGTTCAGGAATCATAATTCTTAGAAATCATAAAATCCAGGAATCATGATTTCCATGATGATTAAATTTGTTTGTTTGGACATAAATGGTTTAAAAAATGTTTACAAATTTTACTTGAAAATCAAAATTTTTATTGTTTTAACTAGACAAATTAAGGTGACATAGTATTTTTAAAGTAGTAATACATTTCTTTTAACCTAAGAATGTTAGATTTAATGATATAATTGTTAAATTAAAAGTTTTTTTTTTCTTTGAGTAAGTGATTCCCTCCCCATACTTACTTAGAAATCAAAGATTTTTATTGCTTTAAGTAGGCAAATTCAGGTGATGTAATATTTTTACCACAGTAAAATATTCTTTTTAACTCAGGAATGTTAGATTTTAACGATCCATTATATAGCCCGATTTGTTTAAAATTAAAAAATTATAACTGATTTTTTCAAAGTAGCATTTTAAGAAATAGATATAAGATGCTTTAGAAAGAACATTGGACATTTTTTTTCTTAAAAATCAATTTAAACAAACACATAAAAAATATTTTTTATTAGAAAAAAAAAAGTTTAAGAAAGTCAGTCATACTTGATTTAACATGATTTAGGTTCATGTAAGAGATCTACTTCTGTTTGTCTTCGGTGTAAGAGTGATTCACTTCATTCTTCTTTTATGTTATAAAGGCATGATATTCTTTTAGTTTTATAAGAGAGGAATGTTAGCAAGCGTTCTTTAACAAGTTCTTTTGAACACACTTTTTCTAATTCAACTATTAAAAAACACAAAAAGTTAGTAGGTCCTACACCCAATTTAACAACTTTCTCTTATGACTTTGTGAACTATCCAATAAGAGAAAGTATATTAAGAGAAATGTGTTAGAGTGTGTTAAAATGTGTCTTGATAGCACTCCTATTTTTAGGATAGGGAATCGTTTGGGTTATAGGTTAATCAAGGTAAGATATCCTTGCTTGCAAAAGAATTATTCTACCATATATAACAATAAATGTAGTGGAGAAAATTTTAAATGTGACTTGAAGACTAAATACATATCACAATGTTAGTAGTTGAACTAATGTAAATATCTCATTTTCATTTTTATACATTTCATTTTTATCATAAGTTGAAATATTTTTACGGTTATTCCTATTTTCACCAATACACGTAACCTCTATATGCTCATTAAATTGATCAGCAAAACGGTTTTTAAACAACTCAATTCACCTATAACTTGAATTTCATTGGCTATTTGATTAACAATATTCATTTTTTGTAGAAGGTCCACCAAAGTTTCAAAAAGCTTTGAATCAAAGTATCCTGATAAATAATAATTAATCTTTGATATCTTTTAATATATTTCTCTTTTGTAGTTATCACTACATAATAATTGTATTTCCTATAAGTACAACTATTCTGTAAGTTTGGTATCTTATCTGTCTATTTCTATATCTAATCAAATCAATGAATAGATAACAATAAAGACAGATATACGGCTAATATTATCTATTTTAAGTTTCTTGTGAAAATGATTTTTTGAAAACGAGTACATTTTTTTCCTATTTAAATCTTCTTTCTTCTCTTGCTGGTTGATATCATTAATTCAAATAACTATCGTATAAAAAACAAAGATATAGCAATGGTGTCAGGACACATGGATGATCCTACAAGGTATCCAGGAAAGCTCACCCTTAGGGTGGTTCTAACATGTGTTATGGCAGCCACTGGTGGCTTAATTTTTGGTTATGACCATGGGGTTTCAGGTAATTTAATATGATGTTATTGTATTTACACATGTTAAACATTCTTGTTTTGTTGCTAATGACATTTTAGTTCCCTTTTTGCTCCTTATTTGCATGCAAAATGCCTTTTTGAATTCACAATCTGTTTCATGATGTCATTTCTAATATTGGATATTTAATGAAATTATTCCTCCTAAATTGATATTTTTTTTTTCTTTTAGAAAAAAATAAAAGGTAATTTTTGGGGTATCTTTCATATAACTAACAAAGTCACATTGGATTTTGTGTCATAGGTGGAGTGACCTCCATGGATTCTTTCTTGAAGCAATTCTTTCCATCTGTCTATGAACAGGAGTCTAACATGAAACATTCTTCAAACCAGTATTGCAAATTCAATAGTCAAATATTAACTTTATTCACTTCATCTTTGTACCTAACTGCTCTTGTGGCTGGTCTAGGGGCATCTAGCATAACTCGATTGATGGGGAGGCGAGCTACTATGATTACAGGTGGAATATTCTTTGTAGGAGGTGCATTGCTTAATGGATTAGCTACAACCTTATGGATGCTTATTGTTGGGAGAATGTTGCTTGGTTTTGGCATTGGATGTGCCAATCAGGTAATCACATTAATTATTTTCTCTAAACTTATATCACGATTCAAGTCCTATAGGATAGAATGATAATTATTAAGTGGTTTGTGACCATCATAGTCTCCCATAATCTTCATGTGACACTTAGCAATCCAAACAACTTTATAATTGAAAATTTTAAAAATGAGTACACATCTCATAAAAATTGGTTGAGGTAATGAACACATGTAGTCCAAACTACCCAATAATTTATAGTCTTAAACTAAAATTTGCACATTTGATTTGATTCTAATTTATATTTGTATTTACAGTCAGTGCCAATCTATGTCTCAGAGATGGCCCCTCATAACTATAGAGGAGCTCTCAACATGTGCTTCCAATTGTCAATCACCATAGGCATCTTCATAGCCAATCTTTTCAACTACTACTTTGCCAACATACTTCATGGTCAAGGGTGGCGCTTAAGCTTAGGGCTTGGAGCACTCCCTGCTATCATTTTTGTCGTAGGCTCATTTTTTCTTCCTGACTCACCAGCCTCCCTTGTTGAGCGTGGATGTCACGAGGAAGCAAGGAAAGAACTCCAGAAAATTCGTGGCACAACTGATGTTGATGCAGAGTTCAATGATATACTTGTTGCTAGTGAGGCCTCCAAAAAAGTGAAACACCCATGGAAAACCTTGAGGGAACGAAAGTATAGACCTCAACTCATTTTTGCCATATGCATTCCCTTCTTCCAACAATTCACTGGCCTAAATGTCATCACATTCTATGCTCCCATACTATTCAGATCAATTGGTTTTGGAAGCACGGCTTCTCTTATGTCTGCAGTTATCATTGGTAGCTTTAAACCAATTTCAACCTTGATTTCAATTCTTGTTGTAGATAAATTTGGAAGACGTAGTCTTTTCCTTGAGGGTGGTGCTCAAATGTTGATTTGTCAGGTACAATATATTAAGGTTTCGCATCATTGGTTTTGTTTGTTATTGTCTCTAACATGTTTTTATTTTATCATAGATTATTATGGCGATCGCAATTGCTGTGACATTTGGCACTAGTGGAAACCCTGGAACATTGCCAAAGTGGTATGCAGTTGTAGTAGTTGGTGTCATTTGTGTATATGTTGCTGGTTATGCTTGGTCTTGGGGTCCACTTGGATGGTTGGTACCTAGTGAAATTTTCCCCCTTGAGGTTAGACCTGCAGCTCAAAGTGTTGTTGTTTGTGTCAACATGATTAGCACCTTTTTTGTAGCCCAATTCTTCACCTTAATGCTTTGTCACATGAAGTTTGGTTTGTTCATCTTCTTCGGTTGTTTTGTGGTGCTCATGACCTTATTTATCTACAAATTATTGCCTGAAACAAAGGGCATCCCAATTGAGGAAATGACTATAGTGTGGCAGGAACATCCCATCTGGAGCAAATTTTTGGATTCCAATAAAAGCATTCAAAATTGCAATGAAGATTGTAAATGTTGATTAGACAAGTGTGTCCAAAATATAAGATTTATCAGTCTTGACCTAAATTTTCAATTTAGGTTCTAAATAAAAAATCCAACAAGGAACTAACTCTCATTTGTAAAGTTTTTTTTTTTGTAAAGAGTTTAACCAAAGATTAATTCAACTTAATTATATGCACATGTTATTTTTTTATTCTTAAATTTACTTGTCTTGGATTTTTTTAGTTACAAGGGTGACCATGATATGTTTAGATCAAATTTGATATGAACAAAATTTAATTTATTTACTTTTAAACACATAAACATTAATACGAGATTAATTATGATTTTTATACAATTAGAATTATAATAGATTGTTTTGAAGAGGTGGTTCAGGCTGCTGAGGTGGCGAATCCGGCCACCGAGCAGCTTGCTCATTCTGCCGAGGTGGTGAGTACCTTGTTGCTTTTGCTTTTTTAATGTCATCTATTGTGTTTTTCTGTGTTCTGACCTAGGGCCGTCTTCCGCAGGTGGGAGATGCCACCGAGGCGGCGACACAGGCTGCTGGGCGGGTCGCCCAGGCTGCCGAGGTGGCGGTTCCGGCCACCAAGCAGGTTGTTCTTGCTGCTGAGGTAAGTAGTGTTCCCTGACTTTCGTGGTTTTTCGTATGCCACCTTATTTTATCTTTTGACATGAGGCTAGTTTTCGCAGGCGAGGTCGG